CACCGCGGCCTCGCTCGCCCGCCCCACGGATATACCCGGCCCCAAGGCTGTGGGAAGGAGAACAGCTGGTGGGAAGGGGCCCAGGTGTCCGGGGACACCCCCGCTCCGGGGAGGCAGGTGTCTCCTCCTCCAAGGAGGGGTCCAGGCATCCAGGGCCACCATGGGGTCCATGGACCCTCTCTCCCTCCTCAAATAAGACCCAGGGTTTCCCGGGGGTCTGCAACCCACCCTGGACTTCCAAGAAGGGACCCAGGCATCCGGGCTCCTTCCAGGCATCTCTTCCCGCCTGGGAAGGGGCCCAGGTGTCCGGGTCCCCCTCAACCTCCCCCTTTCACTGCGACCTTCCACTCCCCCTGGGAAAGGGCCCAGGTGTCCGGGCCCAACCCCATCGGCCTCCAGGTCCCTTTTCCTGGGAAAGGGCCCAAGTATCCAGGTCCTCCCACCCATGTGATGAGTTGCCAGGGCCCAGCTGGGCCCTTCCCAGCCTTGGGGGAGACCCCGCCCCTTATTTGCATATTAATGACCCGCGGGCCACGCCCCCTGCTCTGATACCAGTGGGTGGGGAGGCCACACTCAGCATCCAGGCAACCGCCTCCCTCCCTGTATCCTGGCAACCGTAGCCTGCCTGTATCCTGGCAACCGGCCCCGGAAACAGCCTCGCGCCTGTATCCCGGCAACCCTCTCCCACCCGTCTCCTAGCAACCGTCTCCGGTTGGATACCCTCTCGCCCACCCACATGCCAGGGGGCGGTTCCGGGAAGCTAAGCAGGGTCTGCCCCGCGACGGGCCTGGATGGGAGACACCTGCCCTGCATCGAAACCCGGCACCCCCTCAGCCAACGTTCGTTACCACCGGGAGTTAATTAATCAGCATTATTACCCCCATAATCAGCCAATTGCCTCATGGGCATGCTAATGAGCTCATTTGCATGGCAAGGCCGCACCTGCCTTGCCCCTTAGTGAAAGGAGGGAACGGGAGATTCTCAGGTGTCTCGTATGAGGTTGAGCTCCCCCCCGCCCCATCCCAACCCCGGCACAGAGGGGCTGGAGGCGGCTGCTCTTCACACACAAA